AGACCTCATAGCAGCCTTCCAGTACCTGAAGGGGCTGCAGGAAAGCTGGGGAGGGATTTTTTACAAGTGCATGTAGGGATAGGACAAGGGGGAATGGCTTTAAGATGAAGGAGGGTAGATTTGGATTAGATATTAGGAATAAATTATTTTCTGTGTGAGTGGTAGAGGTGAGACACTGGCACAGGTTGCCCAGGGGTGCTGTGGGTGCTGCATCCCTGGAAGTGTTCAAGGGCAGGTTGGATGGGGCTTTGAGCAACATGGCCTAGTGGGAGGTGTCCCTGCCCATGCATGAGGGCTGGGAATATATGATCTTTCTTGTCCCTTCCATCCCTTCTATGATTTTATGGCTAATTGCAAAAACAAGGGCAATGACAGTCTCCAGCAGCCCTTAGCAGCTTCAGTAAAAGCAAAGGTTCAACCTCCTTCATGAGGCAGAGGTTACTCTGTGAGCCTGCAGAACTGAACAGGTTACAGGTTAGGTTGGCAGATTGAGTTTTTACCAACTTCAAACAGATTTCATATGTGAATTTCCTGCATGTTTGAAACATTGCCCTGGCCAACAAGAACTGGCCAAGCAGACCCAGCATGGAAGAGCACAGCATGTGCTTTAAGTGAGCAGTTGTGATCCAAAATCAATTTGCTATGTCAGGCTTCATCCTGTGAGTTAGCAGGGTTGGTGCAGTGCTTTCAGCAGTGCAAAGAAATTTGAGTAGTAGGGGAATGGTTTTGATCCACAAAATTATTTCATTTGTTGGAAGCAGTGGTATGTAACCCACCTCAGCTTTGCTTGGCCACTTGTCTGAGATCATCTCTAACTCAGCTTTTGGAAGGCTGTCCTGCACTCCCTGCCACCTCTGTGTGACACCTGCCACTAGTGTCATTAAGAGGCTAGGGTGGGGCTGATGGGCTTCATACAGTGTTCACAGGATGTGATTGTACCTTAAGCAGTGATGCTCTTTGGCTCTGTTGGCTTTTGGATGGCAGCCTCAGAAATGCTACAGAAAGGACAGATGGACATGAAATGAGAAATCTTTTCAAATGTTGAAACTGAATTGCTGGCATGTAAATAGCAATACTGATTATTCCATATTGATCTAAGATGAAGTGGTTGTGGCCATTACATCTTTCCTTAGGAGAGCTGTCACATCAGATCAAATTGCTTGGTGTCACAGCAACCCCTGGGACACTCGCAAAGTTGTTGATAGGATCTGAGTGCAGACAAGAAGTTAAGGAGCAAACTTGACTCAGTCACTGGGGTGCAGGCTGGAAATGACTGAATTGGGGTGGTGAAGCCCACCTGAACACGGATGGCTGGTGGGCCAGACTGTGATTCAACATGAGGAATGGAAAAGATCAATTTATTATATTTTTTTTTAACAGAAAGAATCACAGGAGAGCAGTGTGCAGAATATGATAACTCAAGTGTTTTTTGTAAACATGCATGTTCTCTGAGGTAAATGAACTTTTGGCTTTGGCTGGTTTCTCTGCTTTCCCACGGGGAGCAAAGATGGCTATGAAACAAGGCACATCCTGGCACAGCTGGGTAGCAAGCGTGACCATCCTCCCACAGTCATCACCCTTGCCTCTTACTGAAGTGGCTGGAGCTGCCTTAGCAACAGAAAAGGCAGCAGCAATGTGTGTGCTGTGTATCTGGTGCATGACAGCACCTGGAAATGTGACCCCAGCCTCCTTGTCTGCGGGCTCATAGATCATCTGGCCAGAGTGGAAGCAGACCTGTGTTAGCCTGTGAATCGTGCTCAGCCTCTACAGGCAGAAAGAGAATTTAGCCTTTCAGCTTCCTTCCCCGCCTCCCCTCACCCTTATGTTTTGGTTTTGTTTTTTTAAAAGAGCAATGAAGGGACTAAGCTGCCACCACAGCCCTGGTCACTCCCCGTGGATGACTGGAGCAGCCACCCACCAATGGTGGAGGATGGGCTGGCGAGTGGCTCAGTGTTGCTATAACAACAGCATCTCAGTCTCATTTCTTTTGAAAAATGAATTGCTGCTGTTGGGATGAAGGGGAGCAGCTTCTCCCCGCAGATGAAAGCCCTGCTGGCAGCTTCAGTGCTCTCCTGTTTATGTATCTGGTCTGTCATAGCACGTCTGAGCAGCTCCACCAAAAATTTCAGGAGGGTTTGGATTAGACCATTTGGGTCCATGTGTATCTGCATGTTTGTGTGCACAGCCTGTCTCCCCCACTTCTCATCTAGTCAAGAGTCATTCAAAAGTCAGCCCACCAAAGTTTGGCCTTTTCTGGCTCTGCAACTACGGTTTCTCCAAAGGCATAGAAAGAAGAGCAAGTCCTGCTTCACCCTCTTCTGCTTTGGGGTAGAAGCCTGCTGTGAAATGCAGCAGGTCCATTGGCTGGATTTTTTTTGTGTGAATAAAACTAAAGACCTGTGAAACTGACAATGGTTTTATTTTCTTTTAATATTTTTGTTTTAATATTTTCCTTTTATTTTATGGATCAAGAGTCTTCTGGTCCTAGACATAAATGTCTAAGCTGCTGCTAATATCTTTATGATGCATACTGTAAATCACATGCACACAGTCTATACTGCTTAGAAGGAGAGGGAAGACATTTTACAGGAGAATACTATATTTCAGATATAGTTTTTACAGAAGGAAGGAGAAATGCTGGGATTTTAGTTCTAAGGCACTGAGAAGTCTTGGTGGTGGTGCTAAAGTTTGCCAGAGTATGGTCAGTGTATGGTGTTAAAGCCATCTAATAGTTGATGTGGTGATTGGGAATGAAAAACATATATAAAAATGAATGTTTGCATTGAAATAATTAGGTAAGAATATTTCGGTGTTGTACCTCAAAAAGAAGAAATGCATCTATTTTTACATCTCCTAACTCCTCCAAAATGCTAGAGCCAAGGTGCTTCCCCACCTGCAAAGTTGTGTCCAACACATTGCCTTCACATAAACCTTTCATGTTATGTTTCTGTCTATTTATTCCATAATCAAAGAGAAGAAAAATATTAGTTGTTGTTTGTTGGGGTTTTTTTCTAGTGCTGTTACCCTCCCCAAATCCTAAAACCTATGAAGGAGAATTAAGTGGAGCTACAAACTTAGAATAAGCTTGATTTTGTTTTCATTTGCAACAAGGCACAATTTATGTACATTTGATATTTGATGGAAAATAGTTTCCATATTAAAGCTATCTTTTGTTGTAATGCATGATAAACATTATTTTCAATATTTATGTACTGGGCCTGCTTTTGCTTTCACTAAAGTCACTGTATGCTTGTACAGGAGGACATCCAAGTTGCAGCATGTAACGAAATCTTTAGGAGCTGATGTTTCTAGGGCTGCTTTTTTGCCACAAGATAGTTTTGATTCTTTTGGTATATGTTCATGTACAAATAAGGTGATGGATTCAGGATAAATTAGTAAATGATGTGAAACCTGAAAGCGTGAAACTACGTGAAAGCCTATCACTCTTACCAAATTTCTGTAAGGGATACCTTCAAACTCCTGTGAAATGTCTGGAGCCAGTTCTTTTGCATTTCTCAGAAGATAACCACTCTTCCTAATCCCTGACTTGTCATTAAAACAAATTAAGGTTTTTTTTTCCCATCTCTTATATTAACTTTTCTGCACAGCTAGAAGACTATTGCCACATCCTTTGGTATGTCTATGAGGAGAGGCTAAGGGAATTGGAATTGTTTAGTTTGGAGGAGGCTGAGGGGAGACCTTATTGCTCTCTACAACTACCTGAAAAGAGGTTGTGGTGAGGTGGGTGTTGGCCTCTTCCCCCTGGTAAATAATGATAGGACTAGAGGAAACGGCCTGAAGTTGCTCCAGGGGAGTTTCAGACTAGATAGTAGGAAAAATTTCTTTACTGAAGGAATAGTCAGGCACTGGAACAGGCTGCTGTGGGAGGTGGTGGAGTCACCATCCCTGGAGGTATTAAAAAGCACTTCAGGACATACTCTAGTGGGCATGGTGGATCTTGCTGTGTTGTTTCGTGGTTTGGTGTGGTTGTTTGGGGGGGTTGTTTGGTTTGGTTTTGTTTGGGTTTTATTCTCCTGGGAGGCTGATTGGGCTCAGATCTTTTCAAAACATAATGATTCTGTGATTCTGTCTGTTCTTACTTTAGCCCAGCATTTGGCCAATATGAACTTGGGGCAAAGGGCCATTGCAAGTTTTGCACATTTCTTCCAACCATGCTTTTGTGTGTGTGTGTGCCCATTGAACTTGATTTCGAGTCACTTGTCGTTCAGTGATTATTTCTCTGATGTGGAAGGCAAAGAGGGATCGTGACTTTGTACTGAAGGAGCTTTGGAGTTGACATGGGTGATTCCAGCTGTAAATTGCGTGAGTGGCCCATGAGGGGCACTATTTAAATACGCTATTTTAAGTCATTATATCAACTATGTTACTGACAACTTGCCCTTGAGGCCAGATAGGCTTGCTCTTTTCTTGCTCTGAAGAAAGAAAGGAAACTTGGAAGCAACTGCTTCCGTACTTGTGAAGTGGTGCCATTACCACATCCGTATTGTCCTTTCCTCGTCTCTGGGATCTGAACCAGGGTTATATAAAGAGCAGTGACACAAGCTCGGTGTCTCAGCTGTAGTCTTTTGCCACATGCCAGTTGCACTGGTCAAAAAGCAGCAGGGAGCTGTAATGCCATACAGTGGTGTTAAGCTTAGCATAGGTTTTTAGTGGAGGGAAGCAGGGGAGGTGAGAGCCATATCATAAGCCTCCTTGTGGGATCTGATTTTTCTCTTTTACACTGGTCCTGGATGTTGACTTACCTTCCACGTCACTGTTAACTGGCACAGATAAGGCAGTTACCACCCCTGTGCAAGCACCTCTTCCTGCTGCAGAGAGATGAAAGGCCATGCATGTGCTGCGGGGCTCCGAGCTCCACCACCCAGTCTGCTCCTGAGCATGGCTGATTAATGTGACTGTGCAAGGCTGTTACCCAGACAGTGGCAGTGTGATGTGTGCTGCCACGTGCAGGACCTCATCCCTGGCCATCTGTGGAACTCATGGGGGCAAGAGCTGCTGTGCAGTTCTGTGAGGGGAGAGGAGTGGGCATCGAGGAACAGGGACTCCACGCAAGCATTGGAGGGGCCCAAAACATGCTCACAGCCTTTGTGATCCCTGCCTTGCTGCAGGTGGGGTCCCCGTCACAACCTGTGGCACAGGGAGAGGAACTTCCCAGTGTAAACCACTGGCATTGCTGTTCCCTGACCCCCAACCAGGGGTGGAGGAGGACATGGGCCAAGGAGCTGTCTGAGTATCTGACACCAGTGGAGGAGACTGGCTAAGTAGTGGTTGACACGGCAGAGGCTGCGGGCGTGGAAGCAGCACTCTCCCCGGCGCACCTCAT